GGGGGGGGGGGGGGGGGGGGGGGGGGTGGACCACAGACAAGAATGTGTTTGGACAGTGACATGGGAAGATAGGACCCGGCTGGGAAGACGCTTTCTGTGATTGGAATGGAATCTTAAAAACATAATGATTGCAAGTACTTCGTATTGAGAATTCACAATCCATTATCTCATTTCATTTTTCACCCCCTTACATTACACATGTAAGGATACACTCTTGCAGGCTCCAAAACCAGTCTGCTTCTGCCAACCCCTCTACGGTTGTCACAAAGCAAGCCAACAGGATCTTAAGGCCTAGGAGAGTCGTGAGAGATCATGAAAGGACAGAGAAGGAATTCTACAGCCTATTTTCACACAAAAGCACCTCCACAGATTACCGGTGCACTTTACCTGGAACCCCCCGTACATCTGGGCAACTTCAGAAAAAAAGCAACCAACAGATGATTTTACCTTCATGCGCTGCCTCCTCTATCTGAATTTGGCAGCATTCGTGGTGGGGGTGGCGGCGGCGGGGGTGGCGGCGGCGGCGGTGGCGGTGGCGGCGGCGGCGGCGGCGGTGGCGGCGGCGGCGGTGGCCGATCCCCTGATGGTCTTGTCACAGGCCTTGGAGAAACGGTTGCTCCTGGTCTCCTCGTTGTCGGAGAACTCCATCCCTGCAAAGCAAGAATCGTCAAACTCCCATGATGTCACAAAGGTCTTATTTTAACAGCTCCCAAACACTTGTCAGCACCACGACGTCACTCTGATCAGCTGCACAACCACAGACATACCGGTGCATGAAGACAGACCTGTGCATGAACCTTTACCCTTCTGGTTTTTCTTTTTTTTTATGACGTTTTACCCCACTGTACCATGGCTCTAAACATTGTCCCACATCCTATATTATTCCGAAGTGCCGGACCGCCTCCAGATGATGATGACCCTACGTCACAACACAGACAGTTCCGATGCATTGGCCCTTGCAGCGTACTTTTGATTTCAGCCTTGTTAATGGTGTTCGAGTTATTACGAGGAAATGTCATTGTTTCAAGGCCTAAAATTGTTCCCTGTACCAGACAACAAAACCCTACTGCCCAAGAACGACCGTTGCAAGAAAAGCAATAGACACACACTATGGGCCTCGCTCCACTACTCTCCAGGTGTGGAAAATAAGAATAAATATTCCGCTAGAACATGGAAAGATGCACCACCATATTTTGTCTTTTGTGCATGTGGACAGTAGTGGAACGAGGCCCTATAACATGTAAACTGTAAAGAGGTGACAAAGGCGTAAGCGTATCTTCATTGGCATGCAAGACATTGTTTTGGAGTTATTGAGGTATACTGTCACTGTTTCAGAGCACAGAATTGTCCCCTGTACCAGACACAACAAAATCCTGCTGCCCAAGAAACAACCTTGCAAGAAAAGAGAGTGACACACTAAAACATCAAATGAAAAGGTAGATGACGGAAGACTGAGAGCAGTAATAACAGATCGTACAGCCTTTCTTCCAAGCTTTTGACACGTTAACACTTTGTACAGCGTAAGCGCGCAGTTAGACGGCACACAACAGACTGTGTATGCTCACAAAAAAACACATGCACAGAGCACCGGGAACCATACCCATGTTCTCGCAAAGGCGCAACGTCCACAATAATCTTCCCATACGCGAGCCGTCCTCATCTATAAGGTAGAATGCAACCACATGAGGAATGCATGCACAGTTGTCCTGTTCGAACAGCCCTCGGGAACACAACTTGAGATCTTGTCTACTTCATGAACACGATTTAACGAACTGGAAATGTGCACAAAGAGCTGTGCAGCGGTGCATAAACCTAACCTAGCTGTACGCCCTCAGGAACAATGAAATGACACACTGTAAACGACACGATACATGTGCACAATGCTATTGCCACCAATATGACCTTAAGTAGACAGCCCTCAACACTCAGACTAACTGGTTTACAGACTGTAGTTATAAGCTGAGCATACACAAGTCTCCTCCGCCACAGGTGTACATTTGCTGGACCTAGTTTGAGCTCCCTCAAACCATAGGTATACATTTGCAGGACCTAGTTCGAGCTCTATCAACTAACCGCGCCCCAAGCTCTGAGAAAAACTATAAAGTGAAAACTAGGTACCTACCAGTAGACTACTACCAAACTAAATCCACACAAACAGATCAGTGAGTCGGTCGCAACATAACTGGAAATGTAGAGGGAAGATGGGCGACAAAAAAAGACGTCCTACCCACTGATTGGACCTGTGGATGTTTTCTAGTCTGTTCCGCATTTTCCTATGGCTCAAACAGCCCTCCGCATCCAGACTATCTAGTCTATGACCCGGACACAGAACTCTTGCACGCTGCGAGGCCTGCGACCAAACTACTCACAGATCCATTCTAGAGCTGACATACGTCCTTGTACATACCCGCCCCCTCTACCGCTCCTAGCACAGCGGCATCTCTCCCTGCAACACCAGACGCTCGGCCTATCAGGTTTTCGACCTTGCCCGGGATAGCTACTCATGTATCCGTCTCAGGCTGACATGCGTCCTAGTACCTACCCACTTCCTGTACCCCACACCGCATATCAGATTTCCGATCTGAAGATGTCACTCTTTAAGAGTACAGAAAGACTTGGGCACTACAAGAGCACACAGCGCTTTAGACCCATAACACTGCCTGCTGTTGTTACCTCGAAACAATAAAACGCATATAACCACTGCATTTCTGCCTGGGGTAATTGCAGTTGCAAAAGCAATTTGCGCACTCAAACCGGCCTCACTTCCTGCCCAAACGGGGAGGAGCCGACTCCAGTGCGCAGAAGGCTATCTTAATAGGCAAGGAACCTGGACAATGGAGCCAAAATGGGCGATCCCGGAGGACAGGCGGCCGACAATATCCACGCTCCTCTCCATTGCCTAGTTTGGTAGCATCTCAACCCTGAAAGCACGGTTCATTTGCCATTGCATGTCCCATAGGGTTGGGAGATGCACCGAATCCTACTCTAAGACAGACCACGGCACGTGCTTTTGAGAAACAGGGACCAAGCTTGCCTCCATGTTTACCCCAGCTGCACTCATCCTCTCCCCCATCACGAATCACAGCAGAATATATCCAGACGGAACAAACTGTCTTACAGACCGCAACAGATCCAGCTCTTACATTCACACTCCCAGCATACCATAGGTATACATTTCCAGGACCGGAAGTTATGCCGGCCGGCCACCGTAATCATATGTTACATACTATTCTCCCCATGGCCGTCGGTTCTCCCCTTCACTAGAAGTACCGATTCCTCACAACACCCTCGAGAACTTACGCCTTCTACGTTCTTATGTTAATGCTCCACGCCGACTATTGTGCAAGCAGAAGAACGTTCGACGCCCGTTCCCATTCCGCTTCTGCGACTGAAGTTTCTGTCAGACGACACACTGGACGTACTGATTCCTCACAACACCCTGGAGGGTTGATGAGCCTCCTATGTTCTGAAGTTAATGGACCTAACTATTGACCGCGAAACACCTTCGAAGACCGTATTTTGTATCCACACCCAGTAATAATATGGGCTTTCTGTAACATACTATCGATGGGTACCCGTAATCTTGTGCCCTACCAGCACTGATCATTGACAACGTGTGCATGTCGGCGCTCTCATGTTAATTCTCCTGAAGATTAACAATCATTCATCCAGCTCCTCTAAAGTGGGCTTGAGAACAGTTTGATGCTTCACTAGATGTGCAAGGTTTCAGGCCCCTTTTCCCAGTCAGCGCCTGCCAATAAAGTTTTCTATCTGACGACAACATTTAAGCCTTTTAGGTACAAACACAAGAGTTTAGGAAGATCACATGTGGTGATCGACCACAGGCAGTCCGAGAAGAGAGTCATTCAGCGGGTGATGGAGAGCGGGTATTTAGGTGAACATAACATACACCGCATATGGACTTCCTACCTGAGCAACACACCGCATAGACTTCAGGGGGGAAGTCGCCCCATTCCCGCCATGAAAAGAGGATCATTCCCCCTATGGAATTCGCCCGTCCATTCTCCGGCACCGTGGAAGCTGAGACCCTGGAAAGTCCGAAATCGATCGATGATTAAATCACTCACCTCATCAAGTTTTTCGATTCATCCCAACCGATATTTTCATGGCTTACGGTTTCTTCTCCACAACGAGTTCATTTGCATTCAACACTCATTGGGTCCTTCATCTACTCAAGCCAGCAGCGTGAAGAAGAAACAAAACGAAAACCAATATACCATGCTCGTTAACAAATAGCGAGAAGACAAGGTTACAAGACCCTCTGCACACAAGAAAGTGTGTCCATAGAGTGAATAGAACTGCCATCCTTGCTGCATTTCATCACCATGGGCATAGCACCACAGACTGGATCTACTCATTCTGCATCATAGCATTCAGACCACCTCCGAGAATGACTAGAACAATCCTCTGGTGAACTGCTGCTCTCCCGTTTTCAGCACACGTACGACCCTGCATAACATCCGAGCCTCGACATTCCTACAGCAACCAGCATTGTCTCGAACACAAAAGAGAGGCGTCCCTTCAACCGCTAGAATGGAGTGTCCCTTTCCACCTCCCGCATACAACGGTAGGCCACTGTCATGTGCACGAAGAACAGGATCACAAGGTGACCCACCTCCTGAGGAGCAGACATCCACATGCACATAGAAGCTCTTTCCTCAAACCACCTGAGCTTTTCAAACCTATAAACACCCACCGTGGCACCACCAGCCATTTAACTCTGGCCGACCATGTCCTGGAAGTCGCACCACGTTAACGGCCACGTTGGGAGAGAAATAAGCATTGTCTCGAACACACAAGAAAGAGGCATCCCTTCAACCGCTAGTATGGAGTGTCCTGTCCTTTTCCTCCTCCCACATACCAGGGTAGACCACTGTCAGGTACGCAAAGAGCAGGATCGCAAGGTGATCTGCCTACTGAGCAGCAGACATCCAAATGCACATGGAAGCTCTTTCCTCAAACCACCTGAGCTTTTAAAACCTAGAATCGCTCTCCGCAGCGCCAACAGCCATTCAGCTCTGGCCGGCCATGCCCTGGAAGTCTCACCGTGTTAACGGCCGCGTTGGGAGATATAAAAGGCTGGCAAGAGGTACTACTGGAGTTTAAGCACAACCGCAACCCACGGCTGTCAGTCCGGAAAGACTGGCTAGCGGGAAGGACACTACAATGGGAATTCTGTCTTCCATAACAGGTCCCTTTCCTGCGCACCGGAGTGCAGTGCACCAGTGCTGCAATGTCTTTGCATGTGTGTCTCTCTGGCCACTATCAATGACTCGTCATACCGCATCTTCTCCAGGATCCTGGAAAGACTCACCAATTCTCCAAAACCATCCACTAACCGTACCAGAACCGTGGGTGCTCACAAATATAATCGACGATCCACTCCTTGCATCAAATAACATGCAAGGCACTTCTGATAGAACAGATCTCACCCAGAAATGACTATCCCATACTTTAGAACTTTCGGCACAGAGAGAGGCTGCACAGCAGCTTTTCGAACTGTGACAAAAGCAGGTAGGATTAGCTGAACCCCTACAAAAGCCAGCCAAACTGACTCTCTACTCGTAAAAACGCACTACCTTTCATCGCAGACAACCTGACTTTCTTGATGTACCATAGGGATTGACAGTGTACAAGACCCCGAGACCTCCGTTGCTGAACTCGCCTAATATAAAGGGGAAAAAACTCAACGAAACCTCAGGCCCATCTCCCCAGATTCCAAAGCCAGCAAAGTGAGACAGCTACTTGTCTTCAAACCTTGGGCAACCTACAGCAGTAAACACAGAGCACTGAAACCCTTTGCATTAACCTCACCTGTTTGTTTTCGTTCTACCGATCGAACAACATGCCTTGCGAGAACGCAGAACTGAAAACATCCGACGTTCCCACGTAAGAACCTTCAATTCTCGCCTTACGATCTCGTTGAGTGATCGCTGTTTATGCAATATGCTAACCTAATCGACATTTCCGAAACTGACATGTTAACTTTCTATCGTAAACAACGTCAGTCGTCACGCAATATGCGACTACAAACCCAAGAAAGACAACATCCCTTCTCAGTGCAGGGATCAACCACATTCCACAGCAGCATGGTTGTCCAACTGCTGGTTTAGACACTAAGACCTGCTATCTGGTGGGATCTCACCTACACACATCAGCCTCAAAAAAGTGCAGAATACCTGCTCTGCAGTGCCAGCTCACCTATACACATCAGCCTCAACACGTGCAACAGTAACATATCTAGGTACCAGTGTTGTCCGGAAGATCGACCTGAACAGCATAAAAAAACCCACAAGTCAATTAAGACCTTGGCGTTTTGGAGTCGGAGCAAACCTCCAGCACTAATTTTTGACAACTCTCTCTCTCTCTCTCTCTCTCTCTCTCTCTCTCTCTCTCTCCTCCACCCACTGCATGCCCTGCTCTCTACGACCATGCAGACAGCCAAGTACACATGTAATGTGCAGACTAGAGAAAATGGGGGACTCTCTCTCTCTCTCTCTCTCTCTCTCTCTCTCCGCACACACTTCTCTTCGACCATGCTGAAGACAAGGCAATAGGTGAGGCACTAGACAACAAACAGAAAGATCCCCACCGGACCTCAAATTCAGCTTCATTCCTCTGCAAAGGAAAAGGACGACCAAAGCTCTTCTCCGTCTCACTAACGTCAACCTTGCCGCAGTAGATGTCTGTCAGAAAGTAGAGTGACAGCTGTTGTGACCGAGTGTAACACCCACTGCTGGTGTCTGAATCCTGCCTTCAGCAACCCAAGTGTCATGGCTGCGTTGCAGACGACATAATGGCAACTTCCCATCTACAACATCCTCGGAACACCTTCCGAGCTGAAGGTTTTGAAACAACTGTTGGCTCCAGACACTAGCTCCCTACTCTCTCCTGAGCATTTTTCTTTCATCCCGTATAACTCTGTCCAAGCCCCAACAACAGATTTGCCAGAACTTCGACAGGTAGTATAGTACAACCCCCCCACCCTCCTCCACATACCTAGCTTCATACCGCCCTAACCCTTGCCTGTTATCAAACAATGACATCGTGGTCAAATGGATCTTTCTCGATTCGTGCTGTGGATGTCAGTTCAAGATCCTGCCTTCAGGTAGGTAACTCCACTACTGAGTAGAGATTTGAAGCGCAACACATGCTGAAGTCTACTGCAGATTTCTGCCCCTTACCTTAGGGAGCTGATACCCGCCATTAGCCTAAGCTGACGAGCTACCTCGCAAGGCTTGCGAGCCTCTAACTTTTTCAGTTCATGGTGGACTGCCTTCCGCATTCGCTACTGGCCCACGCCTGAAGCGTCGTGGCATTCATAGACTGGCAAGAGCGTGAACTAGCTCAAGGCAACCAGGTGTTTTAAGATGGAAAAGTTTCCATGCAAACACATCTATGCAAGCGGAAAAGAACAGCACGGAAAACTTTCCATGCATGCACAGTGAAGGAGGAATTCTCCCTCCGACGACATCCACAGACTTATTTTCTGCTGGTAAGTACAAGCTTTACCCACCCAATTTCAAGGACGATATTTTCAACTTGCACACACATTGGCGCCATGAGGATGACAGCCCAGCGGGTCACCGCGCTACTACCCTGGAGAACGGGCATCATCATCATTTAATGATGCCATCAACGGAGCTGTCCTTTGCTCGGGTGGTCTCATTCACTGTGCCAAAATAGGTCCTGCACAAAATACTACTCCCTTGGTGGAAAGTTTGCCGCAAACGGACATTCCACCACTCAATGATGAAGTCCATATTTATTTGCAGGAAGTCAAACCGCCTGTCGATGAAATCTTGTAAATGATCATCTGGCTCACTTACGGAACAATGCTGAGTAGAATTCAGCTGACCAGAAATCTTGGTGTCAGCCAACTATCCTACAGAATTCAGCTGACCAGAATTCTTGCTGCAAGTAAGAATTCTGCTGACCAGAATTCTTGCTGCCAGCGAACCATCCTGCGTAAGCGGTTAAGACATCGTGTGCACTCTACCGCAGTCCACAGTACAATATGTAAGAAGGCACCGCTCATGCCGCTCCTGACTGTATGTAAATTGGGCAGTTCACATCCAAAAGGAAAAACAAAAGGCTGCAGCTTCCGAGGTCGGCATTTGTACGGAGTAGTGGATCATCCAATTCTCAAAATAACCACCTTGCTCCCGCAACTTCAGTCTGCCGGTCAACACCCCGATGGATGCAGAAGAAAGAGGGGAGAACAAGTTGTCCGCTGCGGATTTGTACATAGAAAAGTGATGATACAGAATTCAAATACTCACATACCAAATCCAGGTCGAGTAAAACTGCTGGAACAGAGGCAAAACGTCAAAAGCAGGGGTGGCACAAGCAAAGACGACTCAAGCTTTCGAACCGGCATGGGAGGGAAAATGAGAGCACCAGGTCTTTCCGGCAAACAAAAATGGATCCCATTCCGAGTTTAAAATTAACACGATACCTGAAGCCAGGCATTGGTGTTGTTGTATTTGTTGCCAGATTCCACGTATCCGTTTTCAACCTCTGGTACAGTTGTACTCTAAAGACATCCAAGTTATGGCGTGCTGCTACATTTACCAAATGCAAATAAAATCCTTCTTCAGCAATTGTGTAGTGCACAACACATCACATCGTCCATTCCGATGCCTTGGCAAAGCACACAGGTCATACCGTCACCTGGAATTTCAAGCAAACCATTTGCGCACCCAGAATCTCATTCAGCAGCATGTCTAAACACAGTACCCATCAAGAAAACGAAAAAGGAGGCATGAGCTGTCCCCTCACCTTGTCAACAGGTTCACTCATTTCGGCACCCATAGGGGATGGCCGGCCAAAGGCCTCCATCATCCCATGTTCATCGGGGTGCATGCCCACACCCCTGTCCGCTCCCTCAGGTCCCGATCCAAACCAGTTGTTTCTCATTAGGTCTCTGCCCGCAAAAGCAGGGTCCAAACCAGATGGTCCCCGATCCGTGCCTTCACCAAATCTTAGCCCACTCTTGACATCCAACGGGACCATATTAACACCCGGCATGCTTGCTGGGTCTCTCAGATTCCCAAAATCAAGTCCACCTCGCTCTCGAAGACCATCCATCATCAGCTGTGATGGTGCTCTGCCAGACAACGGTGTTTCCCGCCCCCCAAACTCACCCATGGACCCTTCTCCCATCATGGGCCCAAAACTCATGCCAGAATCAGGACCAATCAGCCCTGGTCCAGACTCCAACCCACTCCTGAAACTCTTTGGACCTATATCCAACGGCTCCAGGCCAATCGGTTTGAACATTCCCGCATTACCGGCCATTCCTGGCCTTCCATCCCCTCTTCCCGGATCAAACGGCGGTCTATCTCCTAGAATGTCACGCATCGGATTTGCCATCCCTATTCCCGTCAACACGTCACTTCCAGGCATCCCTGTTTCACGCATCCTGATGATACTGTCCATCAGAGGCGCTGCTGGATCTGCAATCCCATGTAGTGGCCCGTCTCTCATCTCCCTATCGGATGGGCCTGAACCAGGCCTGAACAACATCGAGCCCACATCCAGCCTATCCTCCCCCCGGATTCTTGCGTCCCTTTCCCCAACACTTAAGGGAGGGCGATAACCCTGCGGAGGAACATCGATCCTCTCCTCCCTCATCCTAGGCTCCCTTTCCCCAGGGCTCGGCGCCAGACGCATTGGAAGTGGCAGTAACCCATCCGGCCTCGAACTTCTTCCCTCTGGACTCGACCCACGCCTGTCTTCCCTGCCTTTTCCCTCCCGGTCCGTAGCTCCTGGACCACCTGCAATGAACATCAAGACATCCCTCTCCTCAGAACCCGATCGTGGGCGGAACCCTCCTGGGCCTTCCATTCTCTCATCCCTTTGCCTGGAATCTCTCTCCCCTGGTGGAATCCGATAGCCAAGAAGACCATCGGGTCTGTCCTCTCTAGATCGAGGCTCTCTTTCGCCTTGAGCACCGAGCGCTGACCCTGACTTGAACGATGGACTGTCAGGCCTGCCTTCTCCCCGGCCCCTGGAGTCACGATCACTTCCACGGAAGCCTGGACCCAACTCAAGCCTCTCTTCCCGCCGCAAAAGGTCTGATCTCTCATCCCTAGGCCGAGGTTCCCTCTCGGCGGAGTCTGGCCCGTGCCTATAACTTAGTGCCACATCCAGGCAGTCCTCCCTGGGCCTTGCCTCCCTCTCACCGGGTCTGAACCCCAAGATATCAGCCCTCAGTTCCCGCTCCATGGATTCTGGACGGGGCCGAAAGCTTGGTGGGACAGCACCCAACCTATCATCGCGAGGCCATGGCTCTCTATCACCTGGGCCACCACCAGGCCTACCAAACATCCCCATCTCGAACCGCATGTCAAGTGGCCCACCCACCATGATATCTGGCCTCTGATTAAATTCCGATGGACCCAAATTCACCCAAGGAGGCGGCGTCCGAACACCATCCAACGGCCCAAGACCAGGCCTTGCATGCCTTGGAAAATCTAGTGGGCCATCCGGACGATCTTTGAACAGTCCAGCTGCTATGTCAAGCTCAGCCCTCACCAACCGTCTCTCCTCCCTTAGGCGTTCATCCCTTATCCGCTCATCCCTTATCCGCTCGTCCCTTATCCGTTCTTCCCTTATCGACTCCCTGATCTCCCTTATCCTTTCTTCCCTTAACCGTTCTTCTCTCTCCACTTGATATCTTTCAAGATCTCTTCCGATACCTGGATGCCCTGGCGACAGATGACTTCTTCCTGTGCCACTTCCAAACGATAGTCGATCCCTGCCCTCCGCCGATCCTTTCTCCCATTGTAGAACCTGCAGACAATATTCCCCCGCGTAAGTTGCTATCAAGCATCAGCCACTTGGTGTTCGCAAACGCATGAGCAACTCCCACTTTTACAGACCACAGAGAATACCTCCTGCTCTCTTTACTATTCACATATTGCATTCACTTTTGGTCCAATCCTTAGTTACCATTACTATTATCTTATTATCACTGTTTCACACGCATAACACTGCTGCAAGACATCATCGACCAGAACCGCATGTTCAATTTACAGTTCAATCCCCACAGAAACTAAACAACAGCCACTCTCTTCCCTTCTGAATCTTGACGACTCCCACCTGGTCAGGAATTCGTTCAGCTGAGCGGCCATGCGGCGGCAAAAGAAAGGGGGCAAGAGCAGTGGAGGTATCAATCATTTACCAAATTAACCAAATTTGTTCTGGCATCTTGAAACCTGACACAGTTCGTTCGCCTGCAGTATGCAAGTTCTCTGTTGCAGTTAGATTAAGTGTACAGCATCCATCGAATATTTGTGAGAGGTTTCCCAACAACTGCTTACCTGAGATATTTTTGTCAGCCAATTGACTTTCACAACATCTATCATCAGGATCATCACAAAAAACAAACCACAAATAACAGTTGAATGTCTACTACATCGGACTTACGGCTCGAACACAAGTGGTCCTCCAATCAACATCTGCAAACATGTGAAAGGAGAATCCTACAACATCACTGGAATCGTTATTGGCCTCCAACTACTTCATTGCATGAGTAAAACAAGAAGAAGCCAATTCTATCCCATAAACCATTCATTCTTCCCGCGAACCAGAAGTGTTTCCCACAGAAAGCACACATCATATCTCATGCACGAGCAGGCAATAACAAAAACGATCCCTGCACATTTTCTATTTAATCACGATCTCCAAATTGTTACCCTAACATCCTTGCAGAATACAACTCCCAGAGAACTACTGTCCTCGCCCACCTGCCCAAGTGTGTAGTACTACACAAACACATTCCCTTGTGCATTTCCCACAATTTAGATAATACTCTCCTCCTCCCTCCCTCCCTCCCTCTCTCTCTCACTCTCTCTCTCTCTCTCTCTCTCTCTCTCTCACACACACACACACACACACACACAGACCCACACACAGACACACACACAGACACACACAGATACACACCTACATGCACGCATGCTCGGAAATCTGGATCAACACTCTCATCAACCCCCATACCACTTTCACATGACCAACCATCAACCAAAGAATTATAAGGCCCAGAAACAACTGGCTGCATTCATCAGTCTAATCGTTCAGCAGAATCAGCACTGAATGACGGAAGCGGTCCACCTGTTCCACTAGCTTCCTCATTTGCAGAGTCGTCCCTCCACCTTCACCCAGCCGACATCCACAGAAAGTGATAATTATCCTCTTTGTCTCTGTCCTTGGCAGGAACTGTTCATCGCCATGCTTTTCTTTTATTTGTCGGTGATAGCATGACTGCAGCCTTGGCCACATGATCGCATCACATATGCTTCATAAGGGTCAGCAGCAAGGTCAATCAAAAGAAGCCAATCGAATAAAACTTGAATTGGAGTAAAAGCAAACTCTTAAATAAGAGTCTAAACATTTAGTGATGAAAAGGGGACACTTACTCTTCGATCCCTTCCGAAGGCCCTAATTCTGGACAACAACTGCGCCTTGTCACAGCTATGCCCCTGTTACAGGCCCGAGTATTTCATCACAGACCTGACACTGGTAGCAATTTGCTCCAACCCCCAACCCAAAATTTGTTTGTCGCGCTTTTTGCACATCAACCAGTTGAGCAGTTTGACAGTGACTATTCAATTGCCTCGTGCGCAATTTTCACTTGCCCCGTGACCCGATACATAGCTAACAATTGCCAAGTCAACGATGACGAATCCATCACTCACATCCAGAATCAAGCTTGGGAGCTCTTTTGTAGTATTGATGCTTTATGAAAAACTTCAAGAGGTCAAATGGACATGCACATTATCGAAGAAGGTTACTTTTATGGTACCTCCAACAGGTTCCCTAAAACCCACAGAAAAGTGAACACTTAATATTACCACGTGAAAATCATCTCAAGCAAGCTTCACGGGCCACGGAGAATCTTGTACCCTTTCACGAACTCCACTTCTCTATTTCTACCTAAAGAACTTTCATGTCAAGCAAGCTTCACGGGCCATGGAGAATCTTCTACCCTAAATCAGATGCTTAACATAAGAAAGGAGGCCCTCACGACTGCGGATGTGACTTCTGTAGTTTTCATGACCCTCCCGAACCCCTCACGGAACTAAACAGAGAGATTTCATTGCATTCACCACCCGCCTTTCCCAAAAACACAAGGTGGTGCGAACACACCAGATCAGATCAAATATACCTGTTTCTCGACGAATTTACGCCTTCTAAAATGAAAAATCGACTGCATCTATAGTCAATTGTCAGCTATTTACAAATTACACTAGGATATCAGCCACTCGCACATCCATTAGCCCACCGGCATAGTTCACCCATGTACACAGCATGCCCCTATTTTTACACTAATAAAGATCCCAATCGGTCAGTTCACATCAAAGGGGGCCATGGAAGCTGCCAGCAAAAAGTCAACTGCAGAGGAAGGCACACAAGGAGTCATTTGCCCTTAAATGAAAGAGATCGTGTGGACATCAGTCTTACAAACCTTTGCACCAGGAGGCGCCTTGGCCATTGATGGAGATAGGCTTCGTTCCCATCCCTTTCGCCGCGGCGAATCTCTGCCAGGGGAGCTGGCACGCCCTCTTGGAAACTGTGACGAACCCCCTGCTTCTTCATAACGCATGCGTTTTCTCTCACTCTCCCGGTCAAATGAAGCCCTCTCGGCAGGATCCACCCTATCCCTTGCAGCATCCCTATCTCTACCACCTTCCTTCCGCTCTAGTCCCCTATCGCTTTCTTTGTACAGCCCAGAGGCCTTGTGCCTATCACTTTCAAGCTCCCATCCCGGGAGACGGGCTGCTCTTTCCTTTTCCAATTCATGTGCTGATGACCGATGCAGTTCCTTCGCGTGCGAGCTAGAGATATGCCGTTCATAACCAGCTGCGCGTTCACTGCTTAAGGCCCGTTTTTCGGAAACTCTTCGTTCCCAGTCCCGTCTAGCTTGGCTTCCATCTCTAGGAGGACTTCGAGCTCTTCCTTCGTCACGTGTCCTACCCCTTTCACGTTCCCTCTCCTTTTCCCTTTCCCTTTCCCTCTCTTTTTCTCTCTCCCTTTCCCTCTCTCTCTCCCTCTCCCTCAATCTTTCTCTGTCTCTTTCCCTGTCCCTTTCCAGAGCTCTCTCCCTCGTACGCTCCCTCTCCCTTTCCCTCTCTCTCTCCCTCTCTCGTTCCCTGTCCCTATCCCTGTCCCTATCCCTCTCTCTCCCCCTCTCCAGCTCTCGTGAATCACGCCGAGCAAGCTCTTCCCTAGACTTCTCGGGATGCTTGTGCCCTCCCGCCCCAGATTGACTACTACTCCGTAAGCCTGTCTCACGAGCATCCCTTCCACTGCCACCCCCAGGTGCTCCCCCTCTGCTGCTACCATTCACCGCACCTGTTTGTCGGGCAAGCTCTGAACTCTTCCTCTTCCGATCCTCCTCTAGTTTCATGCTGTTTGGACTGGTAGTCGACTTTGGCCCATTTTGCTTAGAAGTTCCAGCGCCCACCGCTGTGTCAGCTTTGGAAGCAGGTGATCCCTTCGCTCCACCAGATCCCTCCCCAAGCGTCCCAGAAGACTGCGCACGACGACCTCCAGCTGTGGAAACTATGCGAGTCAAGGATCCACGGTTGGCTGCGGGCTTTGCTCCCTGCTTCCGATCTGCAGCCTGGCTAGCCATCTCCTCGTCCTCCTTCCCCTTGACCTCCGTATCCTCAGATTCATGATCACTCACATCACTGTCATCCCATCTCACACCGATCTCATCGAGAACCTTCTCCCCCCCGTCTTCCTGCTTGCGGTCTGCAGTTTTGATTTCGTCCTTGTCCTCCTTTTGCTCCCCACCAGCCTCTTTGGCATCCACATCCATGCACTGTACTTCATTCTCAGCACCTCTGATCCCTGCCTTCTCCTCTTCATTTGCTGGCTCCATTTTCTTCAGATTGTCCTTGCCTTGATCTTCAGCCTGCACATCCATGCCCATTCCTTTCCCTTTCTCGTTAGCTGGCTCAATAACATCTTCCATCTTTCCGTCGGCAGCTTCATTCTCTTCTGCTTGGATGATGTGCGCTTTGTCTGAGGACTTCGTACTCTCTGTCCCATTCACAGTTGCCTTTCCAGCTTCATGCTCATTATTGCTTCCAATTGCGTCCTCCTTCCGATTCTCTGCTTTGGTTGTCTGTGGCAGCTGGATCTGCGGACTTCGGCTGGCTTCTGCCACATCAAGCGGGCTCTTTGTACCAACCCCTTCTTCAGGTGCCCCCGGCGCTCCCTCCTTGTCCCTGCCAGCGAGATCTGGCACATGATTCACTATTATACTGTCGTCCTCATAATCAACCTGCTCCTCCATCTCCACATCATCCCCAGCATCAAGAGCAGGGACCGCAGAATGCTGTATTTTATCCTCCTTCGGAGAAGTTTGATCATTCACAGCATTTTCTTTTTCAGAGCCCACATCGCTAGCCACTGACAAAGCTGTAGCACCACGCACTTGTTTGCCTTCCTCCCTTGACTTCCTTGGCTCTACAGCTGCTTTCCCTGCATCCAAGGTAGCAAACCACATTGGTGACAGACATAGTTTACGATCACTAAGAGAGCAGACCACACCACCTAAGTCGTTCTCGGTGTTTTCATAAATTATTCACTTTTCACCTTTGCAAAGTTTGCTTCTCTATATGCATGCCAACTATGAACAGCCATTCCGTAGGGAAAAACTCAGAGGCATATACCCTTCAGTAAGTAGGCAAGCCCATGTCAATAGTTTCCCTCCCGTTAGAACCACGTGTCAAGCTTCAATGCACACCAGAGCAGAGTAGCCACCGTATTTCCCAATGTGTGATTTTTTAAAGGCAATTCAAAAACAATGATTATCAAAAGCAGCTAGTGGTTCCCCCCCCCAGCACATTCTTGCTGGGGACGGGAATTTTTTCCCTCGTGGGCCTACATTCTTGTTTGGGGCTCGTAGACCCCACTGCCGCTAAAAAAAACACGATCCCCTCAATGGGCAAAAAAAAAACACCAATCTTGGCCGCTGATCTTTGTTGATCGAAGGCCAAGATTGGGCAAGATTCAAACTGGGAGCAGGCGCTGGACTTCACAGAAAGACTACTCCGCACCGCCCCGGCGTTTCAAACTTCGACGGAAGTCAGCCAACCGGCGACGTGCGACCCCGCCATTCTGTTGATCCGTTGGAGACGTGCTGCGTGAGCCCGCCGTCATCGTCGCTGCAACTTTCCTCAGTGAGAGCCCACCATCGCGACTGCAGGTGTGAGAGAGAGAGAGAAGAGCTGTGAGGCTCCTGTTCTTCTTCTTCTTCTCCTCCTCCGCCACTACTTCCTCCTCTCCTATTCATCATCATGATCGTCACCCTCTTCTCCTCTTTTTCTTCTTCTTCTTCTCCCCCTCCACAACTTCTTCCTCCTCTCTGATTGTCATCCTCATCTTCCTCTCCTCCTCCTCCTCCACAACTTCCTCCTCTCTCCTTCATCATCATTATCCTCATCTTCCTCTCCTCCTCTCCTCCACAATTTTTTCTCCTCTGATTCATCATCCTCATCTTCTTCTCCTCCTCCATTTCCTCCTCCTCCTCCACAAGTTCTTCCTCCTATTCTATTCATCACCGCCATCGTCATCTCCTCTTCCTCCTCCCCCACCCTGCTGCCCAGCATCATGAGGCAAAGGATCAAACCCCCTCCCCCTCCACATTCCACTCTTCTTCCTCGCATTGTGTTCTTCGTCTTCTCCTCTTGCTCTTATTCTCGTGCTCTCTTTCTCTTGCTTTGATTCTCTTGCTCTTATTCTCTTGCTCTTATCCTCTTGCTCTTATTCTCTTGCTCTTATTCTCCTCTTGCTCTTCTAGTCCTCATCCTCGTCTTCTTCACCCTCCTCTTCTCTTCTTAAGTTTTCCTCCTCTGCTCCAATTCTTCGCCTCTTGCTCTTCGTCTTCTTCATCCTCCTCTCCTCTTCTTATCTTTTCCTTCTCCACTCCCTTTCATCCTCTTCTTATATTTTCCACTTGTTATCTTTTCCCCCTCTGTCTAATATTCCCACTTCTGATTTTTTTATTTAAAGAAAAGTTCAAAAAAACCCTAACCCTCTCCTCCGCCTCCAATCTTCTCCTCCTCCACGTCTTCTTCTCCCTTCCTCTTTTTCTCCTTCTCCTCCTCTTCTTTTTCTCCTCCGTTTGCTGATGGCCAGGTATGCTGTTCTCCACGTCTGCTGGTGCCCATTATTACTGTAACACCCCCACCCCCACCATAACGCACTCGACACAACCCCCCACCAAAACGGAAAAAAGTTCACCGTTTTCTATGCAGATTCTAACTGTTCTCGGCAAGCACAGTCAAACCTTGCTATCAAAGAAAAACAAAATAAAAAACGATTGGACCATTTCTGAGATAGACCGGAATCGCGGTTGGACGCCCTGCGTTGATCCAGCTTGGTGGCATCAGGGCCGGTCCAACCGGCCAGTTGATGGCCCAACACTGTCTCAGAGACCATTTTTCAACCATTGGATTTTTGGTCCAATACAGGTAGGGGACAGATAGAATCTGACCCCAACCTTTCCCACAGGTCAACCAAGATGCGAAGACCTGCAAGTGTCCGGTTCTCGAGGACATGGGTGGGCAAGAGCTTAACAGTAGGGAGGTGACCAGGCTTTCCTATTTCATTGTCTACTAGTATAACCAGCGAGTTCCAACTGTTTCAGTCAGGACATCAGTGCATACGATACCTGTTCAACTTCCTATGAAGAGCAGAGAAGAGGGTAGGCAAATTGGTTCACATAACAAACTTCATACAGTATTTTCTGTATAACAACCACCAGTACTCTGCCCAGCCAGGTCGCCCACTCCCTCCAGTTAACCTGGTGCGTCGGATAGGGTCCGCCTTCCCGAGCAAAAAGGCAGGCAGTGCCCGCTACGACCCGTCATGCGGCAATTCGGAGATCAATGGACAGGATTAATTGAACATCGGTGATTTACAGATCGATTCCAGTTGACATTGGCGATTTACAGATTGATTCGAGTTGAGGCCCACAATACCTGGAGACAACTTGGCTTCTAAAAAGGGGCCTATCGCGCAGTTGTGCAGGCACCTCTCCCATAGCCTAAAAGCTGACACTCCCATAGCCTAAAAGCTGACACTGTAAGATGAAGCCGACTAAGCATACGCTGATGTGAGTATATAAGCCATCCTAACCGCAAATCAGAACAGAAAAGGTCTGGAAAACTTGATGGGAAAAGAAAAGACAAACTCCCCTCTCAAAACATAACACTGATTCGAGGTGTTAAACATGGATGTACCAAGTTAACCACATCAGCGAGAGGACCATCCAGCTGTTCAATCCCTAACGGGCATCGAATTTTATGACCACAATCCCCCCACTAGGGTTCCCATTACAGACGCACCCTTTTGCTCTCTCCTCTAGACTGTTCTGTACACAGTCCAGCTGGATTCCTCTATGCAGGCACATCTGCAGTGTCAACAGAAGCCAGTCAATCACAGAGCCCGAAGAGTATGGGGACTACAATCTACAGAGACATGAGAAATCCGCAACCTCCAGTCCACCTCCGCTGCTCACGAAACGAGCATGAGACGTGCACAGACGACGAGATCCGCCAAGGCACGGTGTTCAATTACCCACAGGAGTTCTCCAAGACAACGAGTGCCATGAGTTTGCAAAGTGGCTGCCACAGCAACTTACATTGATCGCCTGCAAATCACAAGGCCGGAGGAAAAACATCCACTTTGAGACCCAATGCCAAAGTTGGCCAGGGATTTCGCCCACCTGCTGCTGAGTTAAAACCTGAAAATGAAGAAGAAACTATGAAGGATCTCTACTTGCCCCTCACAATTGACATGGATCTGGGGAAATGCAGGTTCCCAGGAAGCTGGTTCATGATGTGCTGTCGCTCGGAACTTGGATAGAAAAGAACATGGCAAAGCCAGAGAGATCAAAGGACTTCAACACCGAAGATGATAAGCGCAATAACTGTTCCAATGAGAGGAGAAACTTCCTGGTCCACACATGTAAACAGGGTAAGGCAGAACGGGCACATGGAACTGCCTCAGCCTCAGATCGCAAAGGCGTGAAAGGGGGCTGAGGCATAGGCTTGTGAACCAAAACGATGGATAATCGACCGCCTTTGAAATAGTACAATGTTGGACTTTTCACTGAGATTCACAAAATCCAACAATTCACAAAGATTTGGTGACAAACCAAATCCAGCGAAGGAACGGAGTCAGCAGATCAAAAAGTCCGCCCAGGTTGAGAAGGGCAATCTTCCAATTGCAGCGACAAGTTCAGCCACTTCTCCGCCTCGACTAGGTACGACGGCGCCCCAGAGCATGAATAACAAGGCAAACCGCAGCTGGGGTGAAGCCTGGAAGGAACAGCAGCAGGCGGCATAATGTATTCTGCTTGTCCGGCAGCGAATCTGCACCTCATCAAGGACCAGTCCAATTCGTTCAGAGGTCGAAATGGGCTATTCTCGAGATTCCCAATCTCAGATCGCTACGACTGTGGAGCTGACAGCATGAAACAGAGGAGGCAAACCGCACCTAGAACAAAGACGGCGAAAGCATCAGCTATCAACATGTTCTTTGTTCCATTGTCTCACCGAATGGGGGGTTTGCACATCACCAAGATCAGAAACATCGATGACCACATGCTACGGAAGATCGCGCCCTGGCATGCTGCAGTCACATATCGGGTCACTGCATAGGAGGACAACTAAGCCTTCGCCAAGGAGCAAGTACCTGGATGCGCTCCCAATCGATCTCATACCAGGTGCTGCGCCTCCCCGAGGACCTGGGACAATGAAGCCCTAAGCACATGAAGCAATAAAGGATCTCGGACAATGCCTCATCGTTAGGGAAGCCTGCTTGTGCCTGTCATCAATAGAGTGTTCTCCACAATGCCAAACCCACATCCATAGGGTATCCAAGCCCTAGGAATGCCACCATCAAGAACATCTGACAGTTTCTCCACAATGGCTTGAAGAGTCCATATCGTAAGATTGACACGGACTACAGACAGCATTCAAAACATGATACAACAGCTATGGATAGCAGTCCCACATTAGAGGGGCTGTCACATTACGGCAGCAATTGAACTACATGCTTAGGTACTGTCTGCTCCGACAAGCACAAGGAGCATTTGAGTTAGTCTGGTAGGGCGTCGAAACGGAGAGCCGACCACAACATCGATGAGAGGAAAAACAAGTTTGGAAACAAGAATGCGCTGCACTTTAGGAATATCATTGATGCGCTCAAAGTGAGGCATAACATTAGGATCACGGAGGCTGATTGAAACCCACCTAGATCACAGGTAATCGGAAATGGTAGAGTGGGTAGCAGACTTGACAAGCTACTAGACAAAGATCATCGACGTGTCTGTTGTTCTGCCGACATCATGGACAGAGTTCATAAACGAGGAATCCCTTCTGCATGGGCAGATGTATGTCAGACATCAGTCCTGACCACTGAAACACTCCTGGACAGACCTGATGAGCTATGACACAAAGATCATTGATGTG